AAGAATAAAAAAGGTTAAATACCTTTTTTGGTCCCTCTATTATAGGAAAAAGCTCATTTTTTTATCCCTGTACCGAAAAAATCCCATTTTTTATCCTTACTGTTCACAAATCCGACCCCTTTTTTATCCTTCCATTAATTTTTGCTCACATGGTACGTTAACTTAACTAGAACAGCTGACGTGGGTATGCCACATTGTAAAAGATGCTTACGTGGATTTAATGATACCCTCCACGTCTCTCTCCACGTCACTTTCCCAGCACGGAAAAAGAAAAAATTACTAATTTACCCCCATCCTCTCTTTCCTCTGGACTTTTTTTTTTTCTTTTTTTTTTTTTTTACCTCCAGGTGAACCCAGCTCCAATCCAGGTTGCGAACCCAGGTGTGACCTGGATTCATTGTTCATGGGTTCGTGAAGAACCCAGGCTTAGGTGGATTCATCTTGGGTTCTTGACGAACCCAGGTGCGCGCTGGGTTCTTCACGAACCCAGGACCAACCTAGCTCGTGCCTGGGTTCTCGACGAACCTAGCGCGACCTAGGTGGGTTCGTCTTGAGTTCACGACAAACCCAGGTGGGCCTAGGTTCTCGTCTACATCGAGAACCAAGCGCGAGCTGGGTGGGTTCGTCCTGGGTTCACGACGAACCCAGGTGGGCACTGCAGGCACTTCTCCAAGGCATTGTAGACATCTAGATTCAGCAAACTATTGTCGAAATACTCCTCAACGAGCTCAAAATCATCCCCCACTACCTCAATAATCAAATATTAGCAATCCATTAAAAACAAGAAATCAAGATTATCGGGTTCTTTTTGCTTAAAACAAAGTAGAATTTGACTCTTAATCAACTCAAAACACTCTCCAAATTCCATCTCCATATACTTCCAGCTATTCTACAGCAAATCAACCAAAACCGAGCACAATTTCGTAACACATTCCAAGGAAACACGATCTAAACTGCATAATGTGTTTCAATCAAAAGAAAGAAGGTAAAGAACTAAAGGAAAACAAACAGAAATCGAACGAAGATCCTAGAGTTCGATCAAGAAGAAGAAAAAGAATCCAAGGCTCCTTGCAGGTTTCGCGAACCCAGCTACTAGGTTCCATGAGGAACCCAGATTTGGGACTGGGTTCGCGAAACCCAGTAGCTGGGTTCGCGAAACCCACTACTAGGTTCCTCTAGATTCCGCGAGGAACCCAGATTTGGGACTGGGTTCGCGAAACCCAACAACTAGGTTCGCGAAACCCGTTACTGGGTTACTCGTGGAACCCAGTTGCAGAACCCAGATTTGGGTTTCATGAACCCAGGTCTTGGGTTCCTCATGGAACCCCCTTGATGGGTTCGCGAAGGAAGAAGGTTGGGAAAGAGGAAGGGGCGAAGGGATAAGAGAGAAGAAGGGAGGAAGAAGAAGAAGAATATAATAATAATAAATTGTGTGAGTTTTTATTTAAATATGAAAAAAATATCACATGAAAAAAATATCACATGAAAAAAGAAAAATGTCATCTCATCAAGTTTGTTTTAGTCCATATCATCAATTTTTTCCATGTGGCATTCTATTGATTAGCGTGTAATAACACGTCAACAATGAAAAAGAAAAAAAGATAAAATACTTAACATATTATAGTGCCACTCTGTCACTTAATTGACAGAATGATCAAAAAAGGGTCGGATTTTGAAATTTAGGGACTAAAAAGGAGATTTTTTCGGTACAGGGACTAAAAAAGGGCTTTTTCTTATAGTAGAGGGACCAAAAAGGGTATTTAACCAATAAAAAACTATTGCCACATTTATTGCTTGCTGTGTGTGGGGATGGGGTATGCAATTGCATGCAAAGGATTTCTTTACAAAAAAGAAAAAAAAAAAGTAAAAAAAAAGTTCGCAACAATTGCATGGACAATATATAAGGGCAAAACTTTCAAATGCATCCCTCAAATGAGTTGGTAAGGATAGATTTATCTTTTAAAAAAATATAAAAATAAATTATTT